GACTCTACTTATCTAGAAGATGGACTCTTATGTCCAGGGCCCTTTACTAAGTCTAATCTTGACAGTAGCTCATATAGCCTTTGGTAATGTACATGTACTGAACCAAGACAAAGCACGTCCTCGCTGCTTCCACTCGTTTCATCTTCTTCCTCTTCAAGCTGATTTTCTGTAGCCTCAAGGTCTCGCAGCATGCGGATCAATGGAGGTCTGGGGTGGATTCGTCTTAGAGATCTTATTGAAGCAGATAGTTTCCAAGTTCCGAGATACCAAACCTATCGGAACACTTGCCCGGATTGCATCTACCCTTTGACTTTGGGAAGGTCCTAAACTTCTGTACAAGGCTGAACCTTTCTAATTTGGGGCCTTGCACTTCGAAACTTTGCGTCTGCATTGCTCTCGTTACTTATGCTGCCCTTAATCATATAAACGCGGTCATTATCCCAGTTGCTGAATTCCCTCAGACCAAAGAATTTGCATAATCGGAAAATAGGAATCACAGCAGTGAAAAGTGTACGTAACCATGAGCTTGTGCATCGTGCTCCCTCAAATGCAGTACGTTCTTCCGACTGGAATCTCCTGCTGCTGGAACACCACTCTGCAAAACTATCATCTTCCCCGTTTGCCTAGCACCGAAAAACTTGAGAAACCCTGATGCCGTCAACATGCTTTCTTAATCTGGGTTGCTGTCAAGATAGCCTAATTTAAGTTCCTTAACAGCAACCCAGTAATGTAATCTAGACCGCTTCCACTTTGCGGATCTTTTGTTGAGTGGCATGTTCGAGGTGCGACTTCGCAGCCTGCATTTCATCCCAACGCCCTGAAAAACTGTAGAAGAGCTCAACAAAGGCAACTCCCACACAACTACTTGCTGGCTATGGTTTGCCAACACCATATTCACATTGGCTACTTGCATTCAAATAAGAAGTCCCTAGCTATAACAAACCACACAGCATGCATAGCACTGCGCTCAGCTGAGCCACGCTCAGTCTGCCGCCAGTTGCAACTTCCGCCTCCTTTGGAGCTTCTTCCTCTTCAGTATCAAAGTCTCAAAGCCTCCTACTCTACCTCAGTAAATCACAGCATAGCGCACAAGAGAAGACAACAACACGCTACAACAATAGCAGGCTGTACTGTCCTGAACTGCACTAGACTACTTTTACCCTGCACCGTACTATGCTATGATTATGCCTTGCCATGCGATTCATACTACGCTGCACGATGCGAGGCGGTGAACAAAAAGTGCTCGACTGAATTTGCTAGATGTGAAACCCAACAACCTTGAGGCAGAGGAAAGCTACTCAAAGCCCGACTGCGCTGGCCCACCGCCTACCAAACAAAAATAGCGCTCAGGGTCTAGGCAAACCTCGCGGATTTGTTTAGGCCTTGTACTGGATAGCCGTCTGGAGGCTCAGTTGTTCCTATAGTATGGTATGGTATAAGACAATAGAACATACCTCACCTTGTCTTTCTGTAGTGCACGAGTACATGGGGTCTGGCATACCAGATGATACCATACTGTAGCTACAGTGCAAGGGTCGCAGCTACCGTAGACGCAGAGAACCAAAAATCAAGCTGAAGCACTACGACATGAAGTTCCAAAGCCCATGGTGTTTCTTGGGGGGAACACTTGACAGAAAGACAAAAGCCTGACCGCTCGCCTCACCAACCATTTTGAGCAGGGTGGTCTGGCACTAGCGGGGCTGGGGCAATATTCCCTACTCTACTCTACTCTACTCTACTCTACTCTACTCTACTCTACTACACTATACTCAACTATACTCCACTATACTTTGCTGTGCGCTACTCTGCTATACCAGACTGTACTATACTATACTGTACTGAATTTACTAGACTAGGCTCTACTCCACTCTACTCTACTATACTTTACTATACGATTCTGTAGGGTACAATATCGTACCATAGTATGCTATACTAGACTACACTATACTATACCATGCCATACTATACCGTACAGAGTTGTACTGTGCTGTTCTATACAGGGTCCTGCTCTCCCTGGCTAAACTGTACCATTGCATGCCACACTATAGTGCATAGTATGCTAAGCAATCCCGCTATGCACAAAGCCCTCTAGGACAAAATTTACTGTGATTCGGACGAACGCCTGGATTGAGTTGTAGGTGGCAGGCTTCTCTTGGAGAAACTCGATAAGTGCCCAGTGCAATGATCTACTGAGTCTGAACACCACGGCAACTTTTTGATAGTAAGTAATTGCATGCTAGAAAGCATGTCCTTGCCAGAATGTCAGATGAAGTCAAAGTGTGTAGAGCGATGTCGAGCACAAGACTGTCCAATTTATCAAGGAGCTTTCCTCTGAAAATCGCTGTAGGCACTCCAAGGCTCTAATCCTCCATACTATTGGCAAGTTTACTCCATCCCACCTAAGCAGATCTGCGGATCTGCATGGCAAACTCAAGCGATTCAATCCCTGTCTTCTACCACACGCATGGCTTGCAGCCACATCGGTCGCTGCTTCCGCTCACTTGCCCCTACACGAACGTCCTCCTTGCTTTGGATGGCCTTGTCCTTCTTCTGTGCCTTTTTGGCAGCCTGCAGTTAAACGAACTTGCAGATCATGTACTCTTATTCCCACGGAAACTAGTACTGACAGGGGCACCTACCAGAGCTACTACTGGTAGTAGAGGTGGTGGCAACGATGCTTTTCACGCAGAACGTGTGTGAGCTGGGGCCTGTCTCTGCCGGCGCTCGCTGATCAGGGCAAAAGCGATGAGGACAGCCATTCCGATGGAGATTCCCTTGGCTCAAGCTTACAAAGGGCTCCAGAATTTTGGTGGCCTCAAAGCTTTAGGAAATTATGAGTTTGGAAAGCCCTGGCGGCTTTTAGACCTTTTTCGACTTCGGTGGGTTCAGAGGTTTTTGAAACATTGGATATTTCAGTTGTTCTAGGGGTTTAGAGTTTGAGGATGCTTGGGGAGTTTAGGAGAATACTAGGGAAGTAGTGCTGCGCTAAAGGTAATCGTATCGATGAGAACGACAGAAAGGCACACGATCCACATCCTGCAAAGACAATAAAAGTTCTTGCACAGCCATTACCACATGAACGCAAATAGCAATAACAGCTCTTTATATTGCGGTGCTGAATCCTTTTGCTCATTCTTGATGAGCATTCCTCCCATCATTGTAAAATGTTATCCTATATAACCCCTAAATAGTAGTTGCCATGTTCTTTCCATTATCCCTATATAACACCTATATAACCCCAACCGTATCCCTAAACCCCTTTATAACCCCTACATAACCGCTATATCCCCCGATGGCTAATGGCTGCCGCGGCTCTCCGGCAAGGAAACAAATGGCAAAGATCAAGGCGACCTGCGTCCCTTGAGAGTGCGCCCAGTGCAAATCGTTGGCCAGCAGGCACCTTTGTCTGGGCTGTTGTTAAGGAACTTAATTTAAGTCTACGTTATTACATTGGGTAAACCCAATTATTTATTGCATATGTTCCCATTATGGTCGTTATGGTAACTTAGTTTAAGTTCCTTAACAGCAACGCGGTTGTCTGTTCCCACTCAAGCAGCTTCAGTGTAACGGTCAACAATTTCCAGCAGCTAGGCTTCCTGCAAGATTCTAGACTCTAGCCCCACCACATGCCGAGTTCGATCTCCCAATAGACCTCCTGTCTGCGGTCTATAGCTGCCCTCAACTAGAAACCCGCACGACCAGGCGTGCTTCTGCTTTGCGGCGAACACAAACACAGTCCACGCTCATCCAAGAGTGTCTTCTGGGCTTGTGTCGCGGTATTCATGACAAAAGCCCTGTGTTCCCGTACCGCCGCCATCACCGCCGCCATCACCGGCACCGACACCGCCACCGACACCGCCGCCGCGGCCACCACCAGCCCCGCCGCCGCCGCCGTCATCATTGTCATCCTCGTCGTCTCGTCAATATAGATAATGATAAGAAATTGTAATAGTAGTAGTCGTCGCCCGACTAGGACAGCAGTAGTAGTAGTAGTAGTAGTAGCAGCAGTAGCAGCATTAGCGATAATAAGATGATAACAGTAGTAAAATGATAAGAATACCATTCTTAACTGTAATAGCAGTAGTCACGGCAGTAGCAATGGGACTGGTACTGGCAAGAATACTAGCTAAAAGTAACAGCGTTCAAATTGCATTTGGTGACGAGTGCTACAAGTCGTACTTCCATTTCTGCGTCTGATTCTGCTATTGCCTTCATTCTCCATTCTCCACCCAGGTACGTTGTCAGGCTCGTCATGGTCAAGCCGACGAGAAGAAGAGCCGCTTCGGCCGAGTTCCAAGCTTTTTTCTGACAGGCAGAAAGGGCCCTACATCATGCGAGGCTATACCATGTGAAAACACATATTGTTGCGCAGCAAGCTATTCTACGCCATGCTTCTGTTAGCCGTGGTCCTGTCTTCAAGCCTGATGTACGTGCTGTGTTCTACCTGCCGACGTCCACATGACGCTATCCTATATGGGAGGCTTTGCTCAGAAGGAGCGAGCCCCAAGTAGAAACAGTGATCACCAAAGCATTGTCTTAACCATCATCATCACCACCACCATCATCATCGTCCTCATCATCATCATCATCATCATCAGCGTCACGATTATCATCATCCCCATCACCATCGTGATCATCATCCCAATGACTGCTGAGGTTTCCACCACCACCACCACCACCACCACCACCACCACCACCACCACCACCACCACCACCACCCCACCATCATCATATTGCTATGATTATGGCGCAGCAATGGCTGCGATTGCAACAATTATTGCCACCCGGCCACACACTCCCGCACCGTTGATCCACAACCTAGCCTAAACCCCACAATCCGGAACCTTGATGATCCCTCGCTGCAACCCCCCCTGCAGCAAAGTCAAGTGTCAGTCAGAATGTAGGAGGCCTGTTGACATGCGAAAATACCCTGAATCTCACACAGATTCCCAAATCTTAAAACACCCAACTCCAGCCCTCCCTGACGTCGCCAGGTGGTCCTGGTAGGGCCGGAAGACCCCGTAGAGAGCGAGTGACGTAACCAAGATGAGCGCAATGGCTTCCATCTGAAGCGCCTCGAGAAGAGGAACATCGAATGTTCATAAAGAAATCCTAATGATAAGGTTACTGTCATTCTAATACTAGCAAGAATAATTATCGTGCTAATGTCGATAATGATGATAGAATAACCTCAACGCTATCAACAATGATAGTTTTAGCAACAAGAATATGGCATCAAGACTTGGTGTAGTAGCACACATGAGAAAACAAACAGACAGTTCGGTGGGAATTCGGGAAGGCAAATAATCATGGCAGTTGCGCGATAAAATCCTAAACCCTAAACCCTCAACCCTAAACCTTAAACTTTGGCTGTCTGCTGCCATGCGGCAGGAGAGAGAACTGTGGGTAGAGCAAACTTCACAAGGAGCAGCAGCATCTTCCGAACCAGCCGTTCCACCTGGCATTAGGGTCTAGGGTGCACGGGTCAGCTTCGGTCCTTTATGTCAACAATGCTGATGTGGTGAATATCAAGGCAAAAGCGCCGCATTGAAGGCCTACGAAGCAGAAGTACAACTTACTTATTGACCCGGCAGTGCGGACCTATGATTTCTAAGGACACCCCACCAAGTGTTAGTCACTACGATGGATACGGGTAATTATATTAGGGCCCCATGATATTCCGATTATACGGCTATTACAGGGTGGAGGGCCTTCTGACCTATGACACCGTTCCTGAAGACGAGTGCTTCTTCCGCGTGTTGCGTGACATCAGGCCCGACATGCAGATTCAGCAGCAATGGCTGTTACTGCGGGGACTTGTTCTTGAACAAAGGTCAGAAGGTAGATGTGGGAGGTTCTCAAAATAGGGGCCCCTATACAGAATCCTTTTAATAGTGATCCATTCCAGTATGTAGACATGTATCCGTACATACCACGTTCTCTCAAGTACAAGTCCCACAGTCAGAGCAGGCAACATACTGCATCAACGATGGATTGCCAATGTAGCATGCGAGTTGTTTTATGAGTGGAAAAGCAGTTCTCATAGAAGCTCTTCTGTAGCCGTTCGCGGCCCTCATTGGGATAGAACAACTGAGAGATTCACGGGCGCAGCTTCCATGATTTCCCTTGCATTAAGCAGCTGCCCCTATGAGCCAGATGCAAATTGTCAAAGGGCAGGGATCTATCCAAACAATTCTGAGACACTTACAGATCCAGGCGCTTCCCGGAACAATACTAACAACAACCATCATCATAATCATCACAAGCATAATCTTGTCATCAGAATAATAGCAGTAGCAGCAGCAGCAGTAGTACTAGCAGCAGGAGTAGTAGCAGTAGTAGCAGAACTAATGGTTGAAGGCCCGGCCTCCCAGAAGGCCAACCTTTCCTTGTACGGCCTGGTCAAGTACTTCACGTGAAGACGAGATCTGTCGCCATGTCCGAGAACCTCATTGTCCGCACTTGGGGATTTCTCATTAGGGGCCATAAAAAAGGTCCTAGTGATTTGCGGGATTTGGGGAGGCCCTTTCGAGAATTACCCGCTTCCCTCTATAAAACCCAAGGCATAAGCTGCGGCCAAGTTGCGGTGAACAGCCAGCCGCCGACGCCTGCCACTCCGCATGCGAATATGGCGAAGAGCACGGCGGTGATCTCGCAAGGCTTGCGCGGAATGAAGGAGGGCAGGAAATCGAAGTCAGGTAGGAACTCGAAGCGGGCGGCCTTAGTCAAGTGAATGCTGTGGTGGCCTTTGGCGTGGATGATTGATTGCATGTGAGCGGCTCCTTCGATGGAATCCGTTTCTGGGCGGAGGCGGAGCATCACCAAGTACTTGCCAAAAAAGGCAACGAATCCTGGAAGGAAGACGTTGGTGCCGACTACCATTGCCATCCAGGGGTCGTAGATGACAGCCAGCAAAACCTGCAGTTGGAATGAACATGTTGGGCGCTCGCCTCAAACAGTAGGCAGGAAATCTTGGATTGAGTTTTCACTTTCCTCCATTTTCCATAACATCCATTACAAGACATCACGAAAGCAACGAGGGATCCTTTCCAAAAGTTTGGTCATGACCCACTGTACTTGCTTTGGTCGGTTATATCGTCATGACGATTGCGACGTAGCAGGGGCCGACGCCTCTGTCCAAGCGGGACAGTGGCTGCTGCATCCTTTCTCCGCTTGGCTCCAAACAGAAAAAAAAACTGCTGCGGCGCTGCGTTTTGAGCCCGTGCGGTCCCTAAGCTATGCTCCCTTTCCTTGATACCTCTTGGAACAGCAAGCAGTTAGCCATGCTGTGATCAAAATTCAGGGAAGAAGGACAGCTTGAAATCTGCCCAAGGAGCAATCAGGACCAGGGGCATGATGGACGATAGGCAATGAGCATTGAAGAGCGTCTTGTCGAGGCCGAAGTAGTGTGCCAGGCATTCCAAAGACATGTCAGAGGTACTGGTCCTGGGGGCTGCTGCACTCGGTCTGTACAGAAACACGCCCAAGATCCAAAAACCAGGCTCCTGGAAAGTATGCAGCCTCCGACTTTGCAGACAAGCCCTGAGCCCCCAAACTGCGGAAAAGCTTCCTACAAAACCCTAAAACCAAACCCTATACATCCGCATATGACCCCTATATGCCTCAAAAAATCGTAATATAGCCCCAATGTCCTTTTTAAAGGTACCACGTAATTTCTGTATATTTCCGTAAGCCTTTATCCCGGATTTCTTTCAGTTTTTTGCCAGGGCTCTGGCCCTGCAGCACATCTACAGCCAGACCAAAGCCTTGGAGCCTCGGCACCAGCTTCGGTTCTAGAGCTTGACTGTCAGCTTGAAGAGCTTTCGGGTCTAGGGTTTGGGATCTGAGGTTTCGGGTTGAGGGTTTAGAAGCTAGGGTTTGGGGTTTAGGATTTAGGGCTTTAGGCTTTAGTGTTTGGGCTCCCCGCATGTGCCAAGCCATGGGGCAACTGCTGCGAGTCATTCTGCAGCTGTCCAAAGGATTGACTCTGCATCATAGCAGACCTCACTGGACTTGTGGTTCACTGGTGCGCGACTGGATAGGTTGGGGCTGATAGGTGTGGACGGGACCATCAAAGTCCTGTCCTATCTCAAGATACAATCATGCCGTTGCTCCAATTAAACCGGGAAGGCCTGCCGTCATCTTCAAAGAGTCTAGAGATCTGAAATTAACTCAGCCGCATAAGCTCGCTATGTTACAGTCCTGAATCAAATAAAGGCCTGAAGGTCTGACAATTATCTAAAGCTCTAGGCAAGAGTCAAGCTTTAGCACATCTGCCAACCGGGGCAAACCACCTCTAATTCCACACCACCATATCACCTTAAATGCGGCACTAGGAAGTCAGTCAACTAGTTTGCTCTCACGTTAAGGGACGCCGTGTCAACAAGCCTCAGCTGATATCAGTAATGCACGAAATCCCGTTTACGTCTCTGCCAGGCGGCATGATGCTGCCTGAGACAGCTGTGAAGGACATAAGCTGATTTAGCATCACTCCGCTGTGGGTCGTTTTGGACTCTACCTTGGGCGAATGTCTTGAAATAACCAAAGGTCTCTTCCGTTTAAGCTGACAGATGAAGCAAAAATAGTGCGTGTTGACGAGCACTTTAAAATTTTGTATTCACTCAGAAGAAAGCCGTACTCAAAAAGGACTCGGCACGTTGAGCACACTCAAGGCCGCACAGGCAAAGAGCGATGCATCCGTCACACTGTAGAACGCCATCTGCAGCAACACCTGCATCATCTCGAATGCAGTCACTTCTCTTCTCAGGGCCCTCATGGATCTGCACACTTGCAGTTCCTACGCCACTCGGATTCTTGTGTCATACTTTGAATCTGTCGCACCAAGGACTCAACTAACTGCAGAAAAAATGAGACTCAGGACCTTTGATCGGATGTTCGCTAAATTTCCTGTTAAACCCTGAAAGACTGCGCTCTCGACTCACAGCATCCCACCTCAAGCTTGGATGTCGAGCACTTGGTGCACTGGAGGACACTGCGGTCAGCCCTTGCGTGCGTCTTCTTGCACTGCCGGCACCTGTGATTTTGATTTGGGAGGTCTGGCTTAAGCCCAAACAGCTCCTCGTGCTGGTTTGCCCTTTGCTTGTGTATCCGCACAGAAACTGGGACTTTTATTGGAAAGATCCTGCCATGCGGCTGACAGCACCAACTGCCAGAGTGCTTATGACGTCACGAGTATGCATGTTGGCACATGCCAGCAGGGCAGTATGCATGTGTCCTCTGACAGGCTTAAGATTTGGCATATGCCCAAAAAATAATCCCAGCAAGTATCCCCAACAGCAGAGAGGACATGTCATGTTGATTATCACTGGTTCCAAAGACTGATGCTTTTTTTTGTTCAAGCGCGTGCGCCGTCTCCGAGAAGCAGCATGGCTGTTTGCCCGGCTAACCTTTCTTC